AAATTATATATTATTATAAATTGAAAAAAAAAGAATGAGACTTCCCTTTAGATAAAATAAAAATAATTCATATACAAACGTAAATGCAGTTTAATTAAATAATTTCATAATATTTTATGAGTCAAAAATACGTAATGGATACTTCATATTTCTCGCATGCAGAAGTTATGAGAGAAATACAGTACTAGATGGGCAAAACAAATTCGGGCAACGTCTCGCGGACGCGCCCCCAAATTTGTGCTTTCTCGATTACGGAAATTCGAAATCCGCTCGCTTCCGCTGCGAAGTTGCGAATTCGCGGCGAAGGATCATGACGACAAGGATCTACAAAAGTACGCTACCTTCGTCGGATAGTAACGTAAGAGGGAGGAGAGATGTGCAAGAGTCTGTAGTCCTTGTAGTAGGGGGTACGACGAGACGAGAGGGATCGGGAGGGAGGGAGGGAGAGGGGGAGAGAGAGGTGGTACGGAGAAGCTGAAGCATCGGGAGGAAAATATTCGAGATTCCAGGGGAACCGCGTGATGACTCAATTTCGCAAAGACCGTTAAATGGCCCGCTATGAACCATGCGCCACCGTCGGCCGCGTTCCTTCTCTGTTTTTGAAGGCCGAACATTCTTCGTAGGGGGTCGATTATGCCGCTTAGGCATCTCCATAGAACGCCACAGACTACAAAGAAGAGACTCGGTTTATTTGACTTTTCCTACCCCGTCAGATCGATGGTACTTACGAATCATTGTATTAACGATATTGGTTACATTTTACCCTTTCGACTTTTTACTCGATGCTTTTGCTCCAATCCGTTCATCTCCCTATCTTCTCAGTAACACATACAAAATGCTGACCTATGCTAAGATACATGATAATTGAATATTAATAATAGAATGGTCAATAAATTGTTGCGAGATCAAAAATACCTATGTTCTTTAAAACAAATTTAAAGATCTTTTATGCGTAAAGATTTGACGAACTGATAAAAAATATCTATTAATCAATAACAAAGTTTTATCGTTTTTTTAATCTTAAAAAAAGTTGTA